TCAATATATTTTGTACGCCGGTAGTGAATATTTTCGCGGGACGCGAAAAACAAAATTTTGTATAATGTCAGCGACGGCATTAAATTGACTGAGAATAAAAGAAGAATCCTCTTTCCGGCCTGCGTTGTCGGGTTCAACTACCGCTTTGTTGTTCCAGTTCGTCGCTTGCGCACGCACTCGCGATCTCATTGTTTGATATTGCTCGCTGGATTCAGAGATGATTTTATTAAAAGTAGCGTACGTGACTATTCATCCACTTTGTTCGAGTTTTATCAAGTGCAAAGAGAGTTTTTTTTACGTTACGCATTGTTTCTTCAAAATAAGGTTGATTTTGGCTTTTACGCGTGCTTAGATATGAATCATCAATTTGAATAGAAAAATCTGAGGAAGTGTCGTTATTTCAATTGATCGCCCGTGATTAAACGTACCAAATTTTACAACAGGTCATTACCAATTGTTATCAACTCAACACACCATGCAATCATTCATTCATTATATTGCTTTTCGTTAAACGAATAAATTAAGTTGTAGCTATATTGCCGAGTTTATTACTAGAAGATCGCATTTCACGTAGACATTGACTGTCTCCCTCTACCGGCAAATTCTCAAACACCAATAATGAACTACTTATCGACCCGCACAACTAATCAATTGCAACTGCAATCAAAGAAGCAAACTTATGTACGCAAAGCCAGCACTTATGAAAACCCAGTATTCGCACGATTGCAGATGAGCACAAATCGAACGTGCATCCATGGAAATTCACGGCTGGCGACGCATCGTAGCTCAACGACAGCTACGGACGTTCGTTTGCAAAAGCCAAAATTACATCGCCATTAGAATCTTCCAACGAGAATCAAAGTATATTTACACGGTGGCGCGGTGGCCGAGCGCGTGCAACCGAATAATTGGAATAATTGTTGCGCGACTTGGGACTCTTCACATCAGTTTGAAATCGGCTTTTACGCAACCAATTTGAAATTTCTCGATAGATAAGATATCCACCTCCAAAATAATCCCGACTATTAGTGAAACCTGTCGTACGCGTCGCCCGCGTTATCTCAACGAAGGGAACGCACAGATATAGTGCGCTCGAAGCGCGTGCATCGAAAGGGAGTTCCGAGGGGACAATCGAGCGTGCCGTCGTTATGATGCGACGCGCGGCGCGTGTGCGCACACGCAGCGGGGAGTTTTCCCTTTGAGACTCGACGAAAGGAAGTTTACGCCTTTGACGGTCTTTTCGCCGGGCGCGCGAGCGATTAGTCACGCTGGTGCGCGCGTCGCCGAAGCAAAGAACCCGCCAAGACGATGAATCAGTCGGCGCCGCGAGCTTCCGCGCGACGAGCCCGTGCAAAAATCCGCGAAGCGAGATCGAGAAGCAAGCATCGGTTTTCATCTCCGCAGCTCCGAAGTAGAGAAGCAACAGCCCGGCGAGATAAAAGCAGCGACTTACAGAGGTTCGGCGCGTCGCCGCCGTTCTCCGTTTCCAGCTCGATCCGATTTTTCTTTCTGCGCCGCATGATCGAGTTCCACACCTTCTTGTGGCTCATGATTTTTTTCCTCTCTTGTCGATCGAACGTTAATTGGGCGCGAGGTAAACACTGGCTGACATATTCTCAATTAGGGTCTGATTATCAAGATGGTAGCAGACAGCAGCAGGGCACTTTGTGCGTTTAACGAGACCGAAAGCGCCTTCGTTTATCTCGCTATTGTGACACACTTGTTCTTCGCGCGTTCGATTATTTTCTCGATGCTGACACTGCAAACTTTAGAAATTTATAGACAATCCATAAATCACTCTCCGATACGATCGATTCACCGACACTTGCTCGCACACTCAACTGTTGGCTGATAATAAGTCGCTCCTCTCGGCGGCAAGAACCGATGGGCGTGACAAGAGTGAAGAAACAAAACGGAACAGAAATCGGACACTGGCCTGCGCTCGCCGCGAACCGCTCGACGCGTCTATCTGCGTCCGTGTCCGGCGTACTTCTGTCTCACTCGCTTCCTCGAGAGAGCAGCGCTATGCTATACGTGACGATGACGAGTGGGGCGACAAGGAGAGCTCAATGTACGAGTGCGTAATAGCGTTTTTTTTTTTTCTCTCTCTCAACATGTACCTCCACGTGCTTGTCTCGTAAAAGCCGGACAATGGAAGAGAATGTCTCGCCAGTAAGGAGTTTTTGTGGGTCGCTGATAAGATTGCCGTGGCGTTCTCTCTAGTGCTTCCTCGTGTTGACCTTCTTTCATAGGGGGAGAGAACCTTTGCGAAAAACGTATTATTGCAGGTTTTTTTTTATTATTATTATTCACGATGAAGCTTCGTTTCGAGAATATATTTTTTTTTATCGTGAGATGAGTTTTATTTTTTGCTTGGTTGTGCGTGTCCAAAACCGTCGAGTATTCAATAATAAAATTTAACGATCTCAGCATGCTACTGTAAATCCTGCAAATAAAAGATGATCGCATACGCGACGCAGCATTTAACGAGAATATCGCGTGATCGGATGGCCAATGTTATGCAATCGATCCAGAGAAGAAACAAGGTATAAATGAGAAATCAATAACTGGACACACGTGCGTTAGCGTGTCATCTAATGACAGTCGAATGATTGCCGAAAGTAGAGATTTTAAGCAGCCAAAAAAAAAGAAAAAACGCCTGGAAAGCGGTGCGTCGTGCGCGCACGGTACGCGGCGAGCACTCGAGACGCCGGTCGTCGCGCGGCTCCGAGATGCCACTCACGCACTTTCGTCGCCCAGCGGTACTTAATCACGTAGAACCCGCTGCTGTTCGCGCGGCGCCAGGTGTATCGAGCGCGAACAGCTATGCGCGCGTTCGTTCGCCAGCAGGCCGCGGCAAAGACGCTTCGCTTTATCGACCGCAGAAAATCGACGCTCGCGTTGGGCGGGGAATGGCGGTCGGTCTTCGCGCGCAGCAGTTAACGAGAAATCGCGAAATAATTGCCGTCGAACTAAACGATCGGCGACCTGAAAATCACGATGCGCAATGCACTTTGACCGCACGGGCAAACTTGAGCGCCGTGCGACGTTCGCGAATACGCGTGGCGTGCTCGTATCGCTTGCTGCAGCGATGATCGCTCTTCCGGCTAGGATACATCCGCCGGTGCCGTTCCAAACAATGGCCATAGCCATCGAGAGCGTTTCTTTAACGACGCCCACGCTGAAGCCGAATAGGGGAATAATACGGCGCCACGTGATATATTCTTCTTTACAGTTTTTTTTTCGAAGAGACATCTGTGCGCTTTATGGAAATTTATTTCTATTTAGGATGTATCAGGTGAACAAACTTTGAAAGAATGAATTGAGTTGTATCTTGGATCTATGCAGTTTTCGAGTAGAGCATTATATGCATGCTATACAATGGCTTGTAATTATTAGGGAACAGCAGTAAGTTTTGAAATATTCAAACACCAACACGAGATAAAATTATTTTACTTGAACGTCGTGCTAGCAGTTGAATTGAATATATTGATATATAGTGCTAGCAGTTGCATTGAATATATTGAATATATTGAGTTATTGATAGCTTTGTAATGATCATCATTCAAAAAAACTATTATAAATTGTCGGAGAATTGTTTGCACCCGACATCTGATTCGAAATGTAAGTTTCGACATTGTTAATGAACTTCTGTACCTTTGAATTTGATTGTTCCTTAATTATAAAATAACTATGATCATCATTAAAAAGTCTTAACTTATTGGCTAATCAGTAATCGTAAATGTGAAATTGCTTTCTTATAATCTGGTAGTTCTTGTGTAGTCGTGGCGCACGCATTCTAACCTTTTATTTTCAGCCACGAGTTTGTAATGCTTTTTTAAAGCGTTCAAAAGCGTGTAAAAGCCGTAAATATATTGAACGTGTTTTAGCAATTTCTATAATGATATTTATTAGTCGGATACTAGAAAATCCGAATAGTGTCAAAATACTGTATTTAAAAAAAACTAAAGAATTAATGAAAAATTTAATGATTCTACTGAACAAAATTCAAAGCAAAGAATATCAAAGTATTCGTTTTCATACTCTCACCACTATATATATCCAAGGTAAACGTGATGTGTGTATGCGTGTTAAAATATTTTTAATACATATGGTATTAAGTAGGCTTAACTTGGATTCTTAACCATACAGAGCAAATTTAAGTATTTTTGTTAGAAAATGATTCATGTAGTTTCAAAGATATTGTAAAAAATATCAAGGACATATCATTTAAAATAAATATTCTCTCACAATATTTCTCCGATCCTGCGCATAGGGGCTTATATATTCCTCTTGCAAGCTGGAGGCAGAGCGACTCTTTATTTATACAGAGTTACCTGCGTTATAATTTATTTATTTAGAGAATAAATTGAATTTAATTTAATTTAATTCAATAAAATTTGTAAATATGTTGGTGAAAATTTGTTGTAGATTTTCTAAAAATAAAACACTAATGTTTCATATTTATGTAAAATATTGGTTAGTATTAGTCATTATAACGAGGCTTTGTAGCATTTTCATGATTTTTAAAACTTTCAAATTTTCAAACGTAATTTATCATCTAGTAATAATGTCATTAAGGTGACTTATTGCTGCTTTACTTTAGCACTTTTTTAGTTTTGAAGAATAATGGGAAGAACACAAAAATAAATCTTATGATTCAAAGTTAAACTTTGTAAAAATTAATCGTCAGCAACTCTTTCATACCTTGTCAGGATTCGCTGGAAATTCATGCAACAAGAGTTTGATAATCTTGTTGTCCCTGCTAGTAATGTCGACTCATCAAACAGGGACTGATAAAAAATGCTTAGAGGAAAGAAACGCAATTAAAATATTGAAAGAGATACTAATTTAAATGTTCTGGGCCACATTGTTGCAATATAAAGACACCGTAAATATGCATAAAATCTAATCAAAATCTGCTATAAAAATTGTTATATCAAATAGGAAATTATCTATTGGAAACAAACTTAGAATAAATACTACAATAAGCATTTTACTTACAAGTTGTCAAATAGTTTTATTTAACCAGACACATTTTATTGATTGTAATGATTACAATAAAAAATAAGTATTATTTACGATTTATGCTAAGACAATATTAATATCATTCGAAACCGCATTCGATAAACAGGTTTCAACCGGAGAAATAACGTATTTGTTTAGTAAAGAGCTAGCATCTTGCCAAGCTATCTCTACGTATACGCCTATGAAATGAGCTATGTTAGTGCCATAGGATAAGTATTCATCAATTTTATTACGATATTTATAAATATCTTTTTCATAATTTAGCAATGCGCCACAAGTATTTTCGTTTAATTCATCTTGCTTGCATGATTCAGATTTAACGGTATAATTTTCTAATTTTTTTTTAATTGTAATTAGCATCTGTAAAACAAAAATATATAATATACTCATCTTTCAATTCAAAATTCTTAATGTAAAAGCTTTTTTAATATCACAATACTCAAAGAAAAAAATTACCGGCTTGTACTGTATTATTATGCTGTTCAATCGATTAGCTATCCAATTCAAATCTTGTTGGACATTTTTTATGAACTGCGTATCTAAATCTACAGTATTATTATTTAGAACCTGGTCACACACATTTTCTTTGGAAGGTATAATGGTCTTTGGAGACAGGATTTCAATTTCATGCTATTTAATTAATATATATATTGATCGTAGCGTTAAAATCAATCAAAATAAAGCGGATAAAGTAAATTATCAAAGAATCCACGTACCCTGAGCTTTTTGACCTCCTCACAAGCAGAAAACGAAACAGGTAGACTTTTCGAACGTATCTTAATAATTTTGCGAAGTTCTACTATCTTATCTGGCACATCTTCTATTACTTTCAACGTATCTTCACATAATTGTTTGACAATCTTTAACAATTCATGACTGTCCAAATTAAGATGCTTCAATAAAAAAATAAGCACTACATGTTACATTTATAATTAGGATTAATGCTTACAATGCCTATATACGTACTCCGTCTGCTTTAATAACTATGAAAATTGCAAAAAATACAAGGAACAACCTCATTTTGCTTTTCAAAACTATTAGTTCAGTTGTCGAACGTAGATTGATAAATTTTTCGTTCGAACGTTGAATTTTATGTAACTCAAGCAAGTAACCGTGAAAATATAGGTCTAGAAATTAATAGCAAACGTGAGTTTAACATTAGTTTAAAAATAGTCGTGAAACTTTCTGGAAAATTTCTTGCTATACCGGCTTATAATTTGCAACAAAATTTTAATTATAATATATATAATATTTTATATAATATTATTATAACATATACCTATAGTTATATACATAATTATAATACATATAATAAAATAATGTACTAATATCGCTCTATTTGAACAACTAATTAAAAAATAGCAGTACATTTATTTCTTATAAAATAGTTTAGAATATAGAATGTTGAATCATAAAACAATAAAAAGGACATTGCGAGTCAACTTGACTCTTAACAAAACAAAATTAACAACTATTCGGCATAATTTTAACGTTTTACCGACACGTTTTCAGCCTCTTCGGGAAATGTGCTTTTTTTACATAGAGACTGGAAACGTATCAGCGTACTTTTGAAATATGGGGAATAGTTATTGACTTTGTTTTATTAAGGGTTGACCCCAACGTCGTTTTTATTATTTTATGATTAATGAAAGAGGATGAATACGTTCATCATACGTAGAATCATTAATTTTACGAGACTTAAAATGTTTACTAATTTTTAATTTAATCTCAAAGGTTTTTTGTGTAGAAAGGTCTCGTACATTAGACATCTGTCAAACGTCTACCACGGTAAATAAAGATAATTTAATTATTTATTATTATTCTAATAATGTTTCGCGCAATTACGAAATATTGAAATGTTAAAAAATAGTTAATTTTGTCACCCGAATAATCTCGGTACACGTCAGATATCTGTTGTCCAACGTCCGTTATCTCCCGTAGAAAACCCTCAAATTTCTCATACGATATTATCGACTTATCTGAGCTGGAGTGATAAACGTCCACACGAGGCTCAAATCACTAGTATCGAAATGTACTATTTTCGAGATTATAATTAATCTTTATAAATTTTTTAAAATGCCAGGTTTCTTTATCGCAGTTAGATTTCCATAGATTATATGGTAATTTCTGAATATACAAGTCAGTTTTTAGCATAACAATAAAACAGTTCCGAAAAACTTTTGTTTAACGTATCCTCCCAGCCTGATTCGTTGATCCGTCGTAATATCACGCTTTTTAACATGCCGTGGTGGAAAATACAACATTGACGCACGCTCTACGAAAAACGTAGTCTCAAATTAGTAAATTCCACTGTTGAAAAAAGAAAAAAAAACCTCTCTTCGCTCGGGCGTAAACCTCACCCGAGGCATAATCTACTTTCCCGTACTAGTTAGTTAATGTACTATTACCATATTGCTTATTCGTTTTTCGACAATAAAAGTAATCATCCGGAGTACGCGAAGCAAACGTTCGACCAGAACGCGAGGGTAAAGCTTTTCTTTTCTCCAATTCATATGTGGTTTTTTGAACGCGACGAGAAAAAAAAATGAAAAACAAAGCCCTCTAATTTCGCGAAACTCGTTCGTTCGTACGTACGCGAGTAAGCAATAATGCCGCGCGCAATGCCGTCGCAGTGCGTACATTGCGCTCGGGATATATAGAGGTGCAGTGCAGATAGCCCCGCGGCGACCACATTACGTCTGTTATACGTGCGCGCGTATATGTGTAGAGCGCGATCCTTGCTCGCTCTCTCTCTCTCTCGTTCGCGTGTGCAGCGCACAGTTTTATCGAGCGCGTGGGTGGGATGCGTGTGTGCCCGCTCCGCGCCGAGATTGGGGCGCAGGTCAGCGAGGAGCTAACAATGAGAGTTGCTTGGATTCACTTTTCAAGGCGACTAGATGAAAAGCCAGCGTTTCATCTCATAGAAACGAAACGTTTTATCCGACATTTTTGTCTCGCGGTCGCTCGCGCGCGCCCGTAACGCATGCCCCCCCCCCCCCCCCCCCAGTAATATAAAGAGGAGCACGGTGTGTTCTTTAAAAATATAACTCGCGTCCAAACAGCGCGCTAAAGTTCTTTGTCCGTCCGCACGTGTCAAAAGGTTTCGAAGTCCCGCGAGACGAAAAAATGGGTTAGGGCGATGTCGTAACACGTGATTTCGGTGGCAAGGATGGCAACAAATTATTCTCGTGCCAGGCCTAAAGTATTCAGCTTGTATTATATTTTTACTCGCGTCAGAGGCGCGAAACGAAAATACATTGCCTACACGCGAACGGAACTCTGTTGCGCTGCTCTTAAATATTTAATACAGCTTATTTATGACCGGTAGATCGTAAAAAATTCCTGACTGATTTATGGGATGAGTACATTTTCAATAAATTTATTGAAATAAAGTTCGCGGTGACACTTTTGCTAGTCGGTAACAGGCTTATAAATTTGATCGCTTCAATAGTATATCGGAAACGCGGCATCTGATAGATAACAATATCATGGAAAATTGAAGCTTCTAGGGACATCTGTATGACGATTCAGTCACAAGCAGCACCTGATCGCCAGGTGGCAATGCGGGGTATCTTCTGGTACGTCGGTATCTTACCTACATTAAAATGTTTATCGGTATGGTAGGCACCTACCGGAAAATCCATTCGATACAAAACTATACGAATCCTTCGCTATCACGTCTTTCCTACATTCTGGAATAAATGACAATTGTCCAGTGCGGGGCGCAAAGTTCGTTTCCACTATTAGCCTGCACTGTTTCACATTTGCATGGTAAGTCTATTCACGGATGATGTCCAATGGCGCAGCTGATTAGTACCGCTGTTAAGGGCAGGTTTTCATCGGCCATTATTACCCGGTGTGTTTCGAGCTTCGATGTGAATGGAAATAACGAGAGCTCGTTAACGCTGCGCCGAGCGTGGCCGCCAAGGCAGAGCTTCTCGTGCACAAACAATGAAAACAAAGCACAATTAAATGCTCTCCGAGCGCGGAGACGCCTTGGCTCCTCCGCACAATGATATCCGCGCGTCGTCTAGCCAAATTGACCGCGAAAACTGTTGTGCAGTCGCAGAAAGCTCGGCGCTGCTTTTGTTCGTTCCGTCGCCGTTGGCTTTCATTCGCTGCTGCGGGCTAACCTGCGCCCGCGTACAACAAATTCTTGATGGCTTCTCTTTTGCGTTAAAACTGGCGTGCATGCACGCACGTGACTATCATGTACACATCAATTAGGCTTGCACGTTAGATTATTACGTGCAATTATTACGGTACAGATATGATGCCAACGGGTATAATCATTATGGTATGTGTACGAGCTTTACCTGTGGTAGAAATTTCATTTTTTTGCGATTGTATATTATCGCGTGCCCTATTCTAGCTCCTATATTACATAACAATTAGACGTATTTTCAATTGATGCATCCGCCTCGGTAATCAAGTCGTTCCCACTGACTGAGCGTTTCTTTTTCACATTATTAAATACGAATTCTTTTTTTTTTCTCATCAAATTTTTCATGTTACAGTACAAGCAAATAAAACGACTCGCCAAGATTTTTCTGTAAATTGCAGTCATCGATTTCTACCAAGAGAACTTGACAGAAGTACGTTACATTTCACTCAGGTAAAATTGATGCCGAATCAAGCACTCGTTCAATCATTCCATCGATCAATTAAAAAACAAAGAAAGCTTATCGCTCACCTATAGGAGACGCGGTGTTGGCCTCGCGCAGGCTCACAGTTTCAGGTTCGATGCCATGCTCGTCCTCTTCGATGAGTGGCGGCGGTGGCGCCAATGTCCGCGAAGCCTCGTAGCCCCAATGCTGTCTGAAAGCTCGTGTGCCACCGTCAAGCCGTACACGTGGTAGCTCGACGAACATCGCGTCGCCCAGCTAGAATCCAACAGACACGCGATCGTTATCATTTTGTCGGACGCACTTTTGCAAGAGTCGTCGAGGCCGGTACGCGTGATTGTCGCCAGTTGCTCGTGCGTTGCCGCAAATTGTAACGAGTGTGAAAGGTCACGTTTAGGCAAGGTTGCTTATTAGTACTGTTGGATCGAGCGATCCAAGCTGGACAAAGCTTTTAGTCGAATGTATCGATTAGATAAAATACCGATGATTTCACTATGGAAGGCCTATTCCTTTGTTATGTTCGCGTAGCACGTTTCTGCTGTAATACACTCGGCAGATGCCAATTAGCTCTCTCTGGGTGCGGTTATTTTATTGCCGAAACGCTAAATTAAAGTATCGTCCTCGGCATTGCGGAGGAACGTCAGGCGAATTAAATTTTTGCGCAGCACAACGAGGAAATGCGCCCTCTTCCTTTTGCAAATATTAGTCGGCCAACGAAGCGATTAAACGGAAACAATGGGATACATTAGTGCGACAAGCAAGTGCATCGTACGAGTAAACAGGTCTGCAAGACGAAACAGAGAAACGCACTCACATAACCACGTATCACATCCATCTCTCTCTCTCGCTCTCCCGGGTGGACACAAAACAAATACGCGCGCGCGGCGCCCACTCGCGTCATACGTACACTGAAGTTTCATCTGAAAATATCGCATAGATTGACCTGTCGGCGGCGCCTCCGCCGCCGAGCTGACGTCACTAATTAGAGCTCGTTTGTCGGCTCGCGCTGACGCTTCCCACCCTTTCATACATCGCCAGTGCATTTATTAGTTTGACTCGGGCTATAATAATGCTCGGAAATATCTTTTCTCTTTGAAAAAGATAGCCTGCCAATTAACTGAAGAGAGAGAGAGCTTTGGCGGTCTACAGTGGCGTGCGAGGGGTAGTTATTTGAGATGGTTCGCGCGGGGCGCCATCCGATATTTCCTGCTGCCTATATGGCTGGAGAAAAAAGGGAGAGCAGCGCTATCGGGGGATTGTAACTTCATTTGCCACCTCTATGGCTCTGGCATACACAGAGGGTCGACAGTTCCAATTGCAGATCATTCAATTAGAACATTTTTTTTTTCTTTTTTCGTACACAGCAGACGATACGTGCGTTAGCGGAGACGACAATCGAATAGCGCGCGACGTGCATTTTCATCGGCGCTCTTTTGGACTCCCGCGAAAAAACCATATCCGACGACCGCGCGTGGAATCGACGAACAATGTCCGGACACTCGTTTCGCCGAGCTGTTTGTTCCGCCGGAAAATTCGCGACCAGCCGTGCAATTCCTTCGCTCGCGCAGCCCCCGCGGCCGAAAACCCCGTCGTGCGCGCATCCAAAAGAAACGAGTGGCTCCGTATAACGAAGGCTCGCGCCAGCCCTCCTTGTTCGCGTGCACGTGTGCGACGCGCCGACCGGTTGCGCGCGCGTATGCGCTATTGGCTAATTAGGCATGTCGCGCAAAGCGCACGAGCGAGCGAGACCGTTGTGAACGCCGACGATTGATTTGTGAAACGCACAATGGCTCTTTATCGCCGTCGCGAAAGTGCGCCTCGCGCGGCCGCCAGTTCGGCGTGTCGAATGAATTCGCTCGTTAAGAATGTCGTCGCGAGCCAAATTGATTTATTGGGCCTCGCGTTCGTCAACATTAGTCATCGCTTTAAAGCGGAATTAGCCGTTGTTGTCGCGGGCCAGTGCACATCGGCGACAAAGCGCGCGCCTTTCGTCGTGATTGCATTTTGTAAAACAAGTGCGGCCGTTAATTGCAACCGTGGCGTCAGAGGCGGGAAATGGTCGCCAGTTCACAGCCGTTGTTGTATAGGTTTAATAGGGTAAATTGTGAGGATCTCTCGTGTATCTGCGCGCGACAATCGGAGAACGAGTTAGAAAATTGCATTACTGCAGTCGATAACTCCGAGCACACTGGGGAAATAGGGACGTAAGAAAGCCAGGTTAAAAATTCTCGAAAATTTCGAGAGCTTAAATCGCAGAAGGAGAGAGAGAGAGAGAGAGAGAGAAAGAGAGAGAGAGAGAGAGAGAGAGAGAGAGAAACGGGTTAGTACTCGAAGGAATTGCATATATGTGTATATTGAAGTTTCGCGTGCCAATTTTTTCACTTTCCATTTTCGTGTTAACAATCATTCGCGTCAGATTACAGCAGTATTTGCGTATTAATTTTACGTTACAGTGCCGGTAATATTGTATTTTACTACGTGATAACGACAGAAGAGCAGGAATTTTATGATGTTACGAAGAATGGCATCTGATGCGTATGCTTCGATTTGATTGCATTTGAATTCATTAATCAGCTCATCTAATTCAAATTTTTATGCGATACTCAAAATACACTCTGAAATTGGCGTCTAATACAAATTGAGCACGTTGATGCCGAGAAAACACCAAGGGAACACTAAAAAAACACACATGGATGCAATAAAAAGTCAAATCGCCTTACGATTACATGTGCAAAAATCGAAAAAAGAGTAATATCGCGAGGAAGAAGGTGAAATATAGCCAGTAAGGCAAGTATATAGTGGAAATATATATGTACAGGAGGCAAGCTGAAATCGCTTTCTCGCGCGATCCAATAAGTTCAAGTTCAGCGGGCGCGTCTGCAGCGTCGCCGACGACTAGACGGGAAAGCGCGGAAATGAATAATCGCTCGACTCGCAGACATATATAGACGGCCCCTCGAGGAGGTAGGTGTGCACGGAAGACGCGTCGCCTACTTACGGTATCGAGTTTCGTCGCGCGACAATCACAGCTTGCTTATACAGGCAGTATCAAACTTACAATACACACAGACAGACATCGAGTTATACATATATATACGCATACAGAAAGTTGTGCAAAGGAAGCCAGGCAGATAGAGCAAGAGAAGTGAAGTGAAGAGACAAACCTTGCTCGCAGACTTGAACATACAGGATGTCCCAGCGAATTGCTGCGTCCGGTCGAATAGGAGAGTGAGAGAGGACAAAAAAGACAGATTCATAGATTATTCATTGATCTCGCAGAAGGTTATTATTTTCTGCTACATTTATATGTCATTTAGTATATTGTGCGCTTCGATATCTGTCCTTTGTTCGGGGAGAGTGCAGTGCGAATCCAAAGTTATTAATTACTTTTTCACGAGGCAGCTTGTCATGAAAAAAAAAACACATCCCGCCATTTAATGTCAAAGCGAGTGCCTGCCCGAACGTATCCTCCCTCGGCGTACGAACATTACGCGTTCATTCAATTTGCTCGATTACCAGCTTTACCACAATGTAATAGCGTAGTAATAACCTTTGCCATTATCACCCATGCAATTTATTAGCGAAGAATGGCCGAATAATAAAGACGTAATCGAACGAGCGTTACAAAACATAGTTCTCTCTCGGTCGATACGCCCAATTAATAATTCAATTTATCTTTGCGACGTGAACAAATCGTATCGCCGGGTTATAGAGGTGTGTACGCGCATTGGATTGATTTATGAAAATCATAAGTCAAGACTGATTTTTCTTTTTTCGAAGCGAGAAATGCTAGTAAACATAGGTGCATCGCCGCGCGCGTTTCTTTTCTCCTTCGCATTCGAGTGCGCATCGTAAGAAATTTAGCTGGCAGTTGTGATACATCCAGTGGCCAGATGCGATGCAGTCCCTCCAAGACGTCTTTCTTTCTCTCGGAGACTTTCTTCGCGGTCGCTGGCAACCAACCAGCAACTTGACCTTGCGCGACACACTCGCGCGAAGAAAGAGTAGCGCGAGCTGCAAGTTCCTTTGTCGATGAGTCTCTACCGCGCGTGTGATGAATCGCGTGCACGTGTGGCAAAAAAACGAAGAAGAGGAGGTGGAGGAGGAATACTGGAGCGAGAGAATAATTCAGACGCGAGATCGTTATCGTAGGCTATGCTGTTACAGGAGCATTCTTTGATCCACTTTAGTTGTTTTAAATTCGGTCTACTGTCCGCTGTAATCTCTCGTTGAATTACAGAAAAAAAACGCGATAAATCTCAGCCGTTAATCTGCTGCTTACGCTTTCGTACTAATTTTCATCGGCTTATCTCGGACACAATTTCCGGTTTGAAAGCGGCAACAGTTGTTCTGCGCGCGCCCGCGCCGCGACTCAGCGTACCAGCTGCCATGCCGTACGTCCGAAAAGCTTTCGCAAAAACGCTATCGAGGATGTGAATCTTCGCGCTCGTTGGCATTACGTCGGATGCCTGTGTGCCTGCGCAAATAACCCTTGTCGAACGTTACTCCGATATTTAGACCACGATTCGGCGTTTAATTATTTTCGTTCGATAAATGCGCGCGCAAACTATGCCACCCTGCCAACTTAATGAACACAACGAAAACATGTCAATCTTATATCTACAATGTGTTATTGAACATCTGTATGAAAGACGTATGATTTCAAATTTGTGATGATTATACGACTAAAATACGATGACAATAAATGTGACGTCTACAAGTAAAATCTTGTATTAATGCAACAATTTCGGAGTTCATCGTGAAAATGAAAAATGACCACGAAATATGTCAATGTCAGATATTTTAATTAAGTATTTGACTCCTTTTAACGAGCATTCGCGAACTAACAAAACGAATGACCCCCAATCAAATTTGCATCCATTAAAATCAGTGATTTTTTTTGTAATCAGAAACGTAACGTATAATCAGCTCTGCGGCAAAAAGCAACGAAAAATCGCCGTCTCAAATGTATGATTATCTCTCGATAAAAGTCGAATAAAAGAGCGAAAGCAACTTTCTCGCACGGGGAATGTAAAATTATTCAAAAGTCCACGAAGAAAAAAAAAAAGAGACTTCCTTAGGTGACCATTAAACGTTTATTTCCAGAGAGAAACGCGCGCAACCGTTATACGGAGGGTTATATCCATCGACGCGTTTAAACCCCATAATTTAGCGGAGCTGCAGCCGAAGGAGTAGGCGCACGATCTCTAGCCGCGCGCAATCGACCGCTGCTCTAGCGCTCCTTGGGCTTCGTTCGATCCGCGGAGGAAGACAATGCTTCGGGCCGCTTGTTCCCGCTTTTTCTTGCGGGCGGCGCGCGACTAATTGAAAAACTTTTGCCGAGCTCGCAAGAAAATCGAAGATGCTCGCTTGTTTGTCACTCGACGCTTCGCGAGGGACTCGCTTCTCTGCTGCCACAGGCGAAACTTCCGTTAATTACTCCGATAGTACCAGTGTCAAGTTCGCGCGCGGCAGAGAGAACAATGCCGCTGCGGAAACATAACGAGCTATTTCGTTGAGTGATCGTCGGGCGATTTTCCTCGCTGTCGTTCTCCCGGGCCCTGTTAACGACACCTCGAGCAACGCTCCTCAATATTTGTCTTTCGCCTTCGAAATGACGTTTGCCGCGAGTCCCGCCAACGTCGAAGCCTCCCAAATCCCAACGTATATATCAACGGAACTATGTCTTCTCTTTTTGCCGATACTCGCACTTTTCCAACTGTAGCAGAGAGGAAAAAATCTTCAAGTGCAACGCTCGATCACGAGGCGTCAGCGCGTCCCGCCACTTGAATCCGTCGTCCCGGCAGCGCCGCGGTGTAGACGGGATCGCGTAAATTTATAACGCGAAAGAGAGGGACGCAGTTTTCGCAAGCGACACGCGCGAAAGAGCGACTGCGCCAACAACGACGACCAACTTTTTTAACGCGGCTTTTCATTGTTAAACGGCTTGCTCGTTCGCGCTTGGTGGTCAACGCTTTGTCTCCGCTCTCCAGGACCAATTTTTTTCCAACGTGAGTTCGGCTTGTTCGCCGCGTACGAAGAGAATGGAAGAGAGTGGTAGAGGGGGGGGGGGGGGGGGGGGGTTTGTTTTCCCATTTGCATCGGCCTTACAAAACAGAACGTAGAGGCGAGTAGAGCCGATACATTCTATAATTAAATGTCGTTCCGACGATAAAATCGACACGGGCAATTACACACCATTACGAGTAACGACTGCGGCCGCGGCAGAAGGGAACGCAGAGTGAGATTTCTGTCAATGGGTCAATCGAAGAGAATGGAAAATGCTTGGTATTCGCGCGCGTTCACCCGCTCGCCGTCACAGTGCGCTCGTCCCGTTAGACATAGCCAAAGGTGCAAGGAAAAAGCGCTCGCGCGTTCGCCATTATCAACGAGGAATATAACGGCACGACTTTCCTCGGTGCGCGTCTGTGTTTATCTTGCGCCCTTGATATAAATGCACCCTCCGTCGTCTCGACTTCCCCTTCCCTTTTAGACGCGCGCGCGCCACTCGAGAGACAAATACAAGGCGCGGTATTGTCTCCGAAAGAGAGAGACGCGATATTACGGCGTCCTGTTTTCTTTTTTTCTTTTCTTTTCGGCTGCGAATTGCTTAGGCTGTAAGACCGAGTGAGTCTATTGCGAATCTCTGCTGTTGGTATTATAGAGTTTACGGGAAAGAGAAGATTGTAGAACTATGTATATCTTTGAGGGACGATAAATTGCCTTCTTTATGCGAGATCTTACACTTTTGCACATTAGATTTATAATACCACATTAGTTTAGATTAGATAGATTACAGATTGGTTTTATTATAACCGTATTATTTTTTTTATAAGATCATTTATGAAATCATAATGCGACCGACCATAATTTGACACTTTCATTTTATAGTATCGTTATTCAATTAAAATTTCACGGGCGGACATGTCATACTCCTTGAAACTCCACACTGACTCAATCCCCCTTGCTGCCGTAAAATAGTTTAACTGTAAAATAAAAAGAGAAGCTCTCACGTTACGGAAATTGTTTTCTAGCCCGGGCGAGAAATTGGGAACGTGGAAAAGGTCGTCATGCATACGTAGGATTAAAAGATGCCTCGAATACCTGCGGTTCGCAACTTTTTTCCCCTCCCGTCGCTGTCGTCCTACGAAAATCTCAATCCCCGATTTTTTTTTCTCTCTTTGAATCTTTGAAAACTTTGCCGTACGAGCGCGCAAAAGAATGTGTTTACCTTCGGAGGGATACTTTATAGCTTGCTTGTTTCTTTTTTTCGTCAGGTTCGCCCGCGCAAACTCGACCCTTCGCTTTATTTTCGGCGAACATTTTTCTCAGCGGACGAACACGTGCTGAGCGGGAAAGGGGGACCACCTTAGCTTGCTCCTTTTAGCGCATTTCTTTCCTGGCGACGAAAGAGACTGACCCCTTCTCCTTTCTACGTGATACCTCGGGAAAAATGCGACGACTTAGCCGACGACTACTCCAGCTACTACTACTACTACCTACACCAGCAGATATGTTTAGTCTTTTATTTTTATTTTAGTGACGTCAGACGCGCTTCACGAGCTTTATTATTTCCTTCTCGATTCCTTGTTATATCGATTAACATATTTCACAAAAATAATGGACTTTTTATTTTTTTTACAAAACACATATCACAGTGGAAGAATGTGTATCAGCGAAATAGTAACATGTTTCCAAATTCATGATTTATCATATTGAAATCTGCAGTAAATAGCCTTTTAATTCAATTATACGGGTCGAATTACTAAACGTTTATTCTACTCTTTAAATAAAGATCGCAACATTACAACATTTACTTAAATTTTATACATTCAAGAACCGGATTATCGATGATAATTAGATAAATGTCAAAGCATAAGCTCTTGTTTTTTTACGAAATGATTTACTCGCTGCTAGTTTTATAAAATGAGTGTAAAAGCAATGGCACTATAGTCTACTTTTTTTATTTTCATTATCTTCAAAATTATCCATATCAATTATGATAAATTGAAATTTTTATTACTAAAATCTCAAGTCGAAACAGCATTTACACGTATGCATATTTGCATCTCAACCAATCAGATAAAAAATAAAATGCATCAACATATCGTTCGTGACTTGTCAAATTAATCGCTGAGCTGCACCATCCTAATGCGGAAATAGAGGAAAGAGAGTTTTTCTTTCGAAGAAACATGTGCACGATACA